CAACACATTAATACGTAATTATCAGGCATGTACTAGCTGATGTATCTATTGCAGTACTCTAGTACAGACATTATAATCTTTGCCACAACTTTTGTTTACGTAAATAGAAATGTTTACTTAAGTTGTTGTAAATTGCGATATCGGTTTTTTAAGGAATCAATATTGGTGTTAAACATGGGTAGAAGTGATTCACGGCAGTTAACACTTTGAAAAATACTTGCCTAATAATAATGCCTTCTTACTTGATATTACTCAGAGACACTCTTGAGAAGCTAAGGGTGCTGAATGAATTGATTATCAGCCACATTAGCACCTATGAACAACAGTTAAATCAGCACAAAGGATGTTTCAAGAGTAAGATCAAACGATTGAGATGTGGTACAAAAGATCGTTTAAAGATGACGTAGAAAAAGTTACGCGGGAAAAGCGTACCAAACTGTACATATTTTTTTATATTTTCATACAGATAGCTTAGTATTCATTTTTACTTTGCCCCTATATCAAACGATCTCACCAGCCCCCCATGGACTACGACCACCACTCAGAGAGCTCAAACACTGAGACTGTAATAATCAAGGAGCGCCCGCCATCACCGCCGAAAAAAAGCAGCAGGCGTGTTACCTCCTCTTTGATGACTAAATACGAGAAGACGCGTATAATTGGCATGCGAGCGATGCAGTTGTCAATGAATGCACCACCGCTTGTTGAGATTGAGGGTGAGACAGATGCCCTGCGAATTGCTGAAAAGGAATTTTACGCACGTAAAATACCTTTTATAGTGAGAAGACGCCTTCCTGATAATACATATGAAGATTGGAGTATTAATGAGTTGGTCTATCCTGACGAGGAAATAGATTTTTCGAGGTATGAGATGAAAGGGTAGGAATCTACCAGGATTACGTATGCTCTGTTGCATGACGGTTAAGAAAGAGATGTGGTGCGGAATGATTAAGTAAAGGCCTCTAAATTATGAAAGAATCTGCCAGAGAATGGTTTATTTAACGTTGATGCAGTAGAAAAAAGTAAACAAATATCATTTGTATTTAAGGAGGAACTTGACGTGAAGAGGCAGTAATTTTAGCGATTATAATCTTAAATTGAATAAGACGATAATTGCAAACGTAAGTAAACGGTCCTACAAGATATAAGTGAAGTGATGAGTAAATTTTGTATTTACCTAAGTGAGCGGTCTACTAAAAAAATTATTTAACCCCTTCAAAAATAAAAAAGTTATATTTGGTATTTTTAATGGAGTAGAAGGCAAAATATTATTATGCTTGCTATCCTTGCAGCTTATCAATAAGTACCGATATTTTTGTTCTTTTTTTTAATTTGATACTTTATTAAGCTTATTTAAGAGACCATGGTGTGGGATCCTATCACTATGTTTTATCGCCTTTTACATTAAAAGTACATTTATTCCCTCACATACCAATAATGTTCATGCAAACACACTTATTTGGTTTGCTAGGACCTACCGTGACCATTGATCTTTGATTCGTAGAACTATGTTTTGTTCAATTCAGTTTTCAGGATATTTGTTTGGCCACTTTCCAACGAACGTATAACTAACTAGGTATGGTTTTCAGTCAATTACTAATTTTTTAGGTCCTAACAAAAATGCACAACAGGAGAAGGTGAGTAAAACGGTAACATCGGTTAAATAAAGTGATTTGTAAATAATCAAGTTATTCTCTGTTTTATAAACAGAAATAGTGTGGTTAGTATGCGCTAGAACATCAATGCACTCATAAGGGATACCAGTGTTGGACAAATCTCGATCTGCCGAAAGCGACTGCCTATTTTTATTGTCTTGCTGTACCGCGTAACAAAATACGTGTAGGTAAACGTAGAAGAATGGTATGACATGCTTTTAGCTAGAGAATCACAGGCTAAACCCTAAAAATTATGCACAGAGGACTGGTGCATGACGATAAAACTGCAATTTGTTCCATTTTCAAATATTTTTGTACGTTATACCAGTGCTGATAAATATATGCCTAGTGTATAATCAAATAGCATCTTTAATAACAAAAACGTGCTGTTCTCAGAATAACCGATGAACAGGTTTCTGCTCACCTGTGCGAGAGAAAAATTAAAATACAAAGGAAAGCATTTCGGTGGTGTAACTAACCGGCCAACGAGGTAAAAACATTTTAATGTCAAAAATTAAGTTCTGTGCCCCAATTCTGCAATGCACAATTTCATTTATTCCAATATTTCATCAAATTATTTTTTAATTTTTTGTCTTGACCCCCAAATGGTCCGACGAATAGAATCTAATGCGAACACCACGTCCGCAATCATGAAAAAACAGCCAGGAAAAGTTAAAGAATTGATGAACAGCCAGCTGAAACCATTTATAATAAGCCCTGTGCACGTGCTCATTATCTCACTGTTATTTATAGGAACTGTTTTTGTGCTGCACCTTTACGCGAGATTCTCACCAGGAACAACTTCGTTGCAGTTGGTCATTGCTTTTGCTGTTTTGATATTGAGCGTTTTTGCTTCGTATCAGTTAAATAAACGATTGTGATTGTGTTCACGATTTACTTTGTTCGTTTATCTGTGTGTTATTCTTGCTTTGGTCCTTGCCCAGCCCGGCGATCTAACCATATTATTCTATACATGGATTAATTTGCTAATCATATGTTAAAAATTCGCTTATGACGTGCAATAATTGATGATATGGTGAGAATCAGGCATTTTTTACGAAGGATCGTTTATTCATATTCTCATATTGCAGCACCTAAACAACACACTTTTCCGGTCCGCTGGGAGGAGGAACCGGGTATTCCCTATACATCACGCGTTGCTATCAATGCATCGATAAATGTCTCAAACATTCGTGCCCAGAAGTAGGGATTGCTCATTTTTTAGGTTTAAAATTTTTAGAGAGTAATAGCCGGAGTTGCACGGAAGTACAGCAGGAAAACATCTTTGTAGTTGCTGACAACACAAGCAAATCCATCAAAAACACCACCCACCATGAATCGCAAACATAAACTCGATCAACACCATACAAAACGTTTCCGAGTCTTACCAAAACACTAGTGATAGATGCATCTGAAAACAACGAATCAAGTCGATCACAAAACGGTCTTCATTATAAACACGTTTATTCCATCGTGGCTATCACCTTGTCAACACGCGACTTCCATCTAATGAACTGTTCCTTCATATTCATCAGCTCCTTCTTAGTGACGGTTTGCAAAGAAATGTGCGAAATGGTGAGACTGTCGTTAGCACCATCTATCGTTCCTCTTATTAACTTCAACCCCAGTGCTTTGATGATCAATCTAAGCACAACGACCCTTTCCAATTCCAAATTATTGCACAGCTCAGAAATTGACACCGTATTTTTGTTATAACACAGGTCCAACATTTTAATGATGTAGGTCTTCTGAAGCACAAACTCGTAGTTATCTATTTTGCAATTCTTAATATACTTGTAGTTTCCTTCCCTTACTGCCCTGAAATATTCCGGCTCATCCTCAAAAGCTGGCAAATTGAAAATGTTCGGCGCAAAAATCGAATACTCTATCATTTTCTCCATATTCCTTTGTTTTTTGGCATAGTAGTAGGCTTCATCGTAGTTTTGCACCTTTTCGTAGTATTTTAGCGCCAGCCCATTAAAATGCTTTTCCTGCTCCCGGGTTAACTTCATGTTCTTGAATCCGTACACCTTCTCCTCAATACTAATGCCTCTCTCGAGTTGTATATCTGCCAAAACGATGTCGATGAGGACCAACGACTCATCGTGCTCATCGGTCTTCAGAACCGATTCGCCGATCTTGTCCCTCAGCTGGCTCAGGACCTCAAAGCGTGACGAGTAATTTTCCGTAATATCTATTGTCGTAGTCGTTAGTGAGAATGGATGCATTTGCGTTGCTATCGGCAGCACAGTCTTCAAAAACTGTTCAATTAGCTCAGTGGTAAGGCACTCCCTGTCCATCGATTGCAGGTAGAGATAAGCATTGTACCATTTTCTCTGTTTGAGCAGCTCCGTGAGGGTTTCCATGAGGGGCTAGGATGTGGAAATATTTATAAAATGGGTGAATGAAAAATAAATTAATCAGAGAAAAGGACGAGAAGGTGGTGCTGAACTTGGCAATTAAGAGTGTAGCGGTTATATATAAAACGCTTTATTGGTGGGCACAGCACCGCAATCGGCAATTATTTTGCCATTGAGTATAAACAATACTCTTCTTTGGTGCATGAGCACGCGTCTTTTTCTCCGTTGTATCGTTTGAAGTCCATGGGCGATAAAAATACCTCATCATCCTTGGAAATGTTCTGTGTGGCAACCAGAAGTACCTTGTAATTTCCCATTCGTGCAAAACCATCCAAGCTTTTCTTGAAATTGATCTCTTTGTTCTTCGCTATTCTGATCTTTACGTTATTTCTGCACTTCCTTTTTGCCAAATTTATTTCGCTCTGCTGATCGAAAGCAACTGCGATGTCCAATTTAGGATCGAAATACACCGTGCCGTCTTTCGGATCTTCTAACTCTTCTTTCAGCATTATGTGGCCTTTCAGTTCGCATATTATAGTGTTAAATCCGCATTTCTCACCAACCAGCAAGCTCTTGTTCCAGCGTTGTTTCTTGTGGAACCCTCGTGCTTTTGCCTCCTTTCTAACAACAGTCTTGTACGCATACTCGCTTAAATTACCGTATTCTTTAATATCAAGTCCATTAAGATACATGAACGCCTTGTCGGAAATACTCCACATTTTAATTTTCTTGGGTTTTCCCAAAAAATGTTAAAATGTACTTTCAATAAAATAGCGGAATCGCAAAGCATGCAGACTCTTTCCTAACAAGTTTTTTTACACGTTTCCGACATGCAATCATCGCGTTCTGCCATGCACAATACAAACTAGTCATTCTACCAGAATGGCCACAGTATAATCTGAAAACCATAACATTTTTACGCGTCTCCGTTTCACTTCCTTTTGCTCTTCAAATTCAGTTTGGTCCTTTTTCCGCAAGTCTGCAATTAAATCATACATCAACGTTTGAAGGAAACCTTTTTAATTAACTGGGCGGAAGGCACTCTGACATATCCCTAAACACCACATTTATTTATTGATCATAGCGTGAAAAAATGCAGTGTGATAGATATTTGTTACTGGAACGTATGTTTCATCGTACATAAGTTCGTTCAAAAAGGCTGAATATGCAGCTATGGATGTGCTGCTTGAACTGTAAAACGAAAATGTTACCGTTGTCTTTGATTGCCGTATGGCGTTTTGTTTGGGCGGAATCGAATCTGAAACAAAACATTGATTTGATCAGTGTTTCACACACAAATAAAAGCCGGAGTGCTAAACAAAACAATGCAATTCGGTGGAATAGGAATCTCTAATTTACCTAATCAGCACTGCTCCAACAGCACAAAGAAGACGCATTCGTACAATTTGATAATAGCTGGCGCGAGGGGACTGGGAAAGACAACCTTCATGAACAACCTTGTTCGCAAGAAAATATTTAGACGGTCTCTGTACCTCGAGAAAAAGGATGACGGCTTGAGAGAACTACAGTTCATAGAAAACGATATTGTAAGTTCTCCTAAGTCGTATGATATCGGTGACGACTACATCAAATACGATGAGGGCGAGGGCTGGAGTACGACCTGGCTCGAGGAACACAAAGTAACATTCGAACTTACGTTGGCTCAGATATTCGAGCGAGGTATAAGAGTAAACTTTTCTGCGCTGGAGGTAGGCAATATAGGCGATTGTATCGACAACACAGATGCTCATATTCCCATCATAAACTACATCAATAGAAAATACAAAGAATACTACGAGAATGAGCGCAAATACAGGCGTGATGAGATTATTGACACGCGTATTCACACCTGTCTGTACTTTTTTGAGCCAGCAGGTCATTGGATACGCGAAATTGACAAGAAAAATATTTTGGAGATCAGCAAGATCTGTGTGGTCATACCTGTAGTAGCACGCAGCGACATGTTCACGATGGAGGAACGGGAGATCATAAGAACTAACTTCCATAAAACGCTTGAGGATGAAAAGATAGGTCTCTACAGGCACCTGCAGATTGTTCCATTTTTTGTTGTAAGCAACCACATAGATGAGTTCGGAATTGTTTATGAGCGACAATACATGTGGGGATCGGTGCAAGCCACCAATAAGTACATATGCGATACAGAGGAGCTGAGGAATGTTGTTATCAGGGACCAGATGCTGTACGTGATCGAGGAGTGCGATAAGTTCTACAGATTATATCGGAATGCCATTCTTAAGGATGATCTGATGAAATATGTGAAAACAGAGGCTAAAGTCAAGAATTACGAGCAAGAAGAGTTCGATAAGTTTTTGTTGGAGTGGTCATGCGATCAAGAGATGTTGTTAGATTGAATAAAGTAATCTTTCTGTAATACAAATCCATAAAACATTCCACAGCAGTGCACAACCACTTTCGCATTGTACTCTGTGCTGTTGTATTGAATCTTGAACATGGAAAAAAAAATTCGTTCGACGGGACGAATACCACGATACATTTAAAAAAAGAAATTTTTGAACACGCTGCTCTTCCCAAAAGAAGTTTTCCTCTTTGGTCTAAAAAACAGCGCTGAATAAAAAATGCTCAAAAATTCTTGTTGTCACGGTGCTAGATTAGCTTTTCTAACGTAAATTAAACGCTCACATTCACCTGCTCACCACGAACATGCTTTATACGTGTATTTGTTCCGTACTCTCTCACGAAAATTAATGTGTAATTTTTTCATAAAAAGCAACAATCTGAACACCTCATGATAAATTCATTGCAATTTATGATCGTAACCATGAGCGTTCTTTAAGTGCCGTTTAATATCGAAGAGCAATCTTACAAAAAATTGCTAAAGATAGATTAGAACGATTTGATTTGGTGTGGATGGAGCCCATGATAAAACCTTTCAATTAATACCGCAGTAAATCCTTGTTTTAAAGAAAATAATGGTGATTTTGCAGTAAAATAAGGCTTGATCTTCATTAAGAACTGCATCACCGGATTGACCATTTTCTGGACGGTTCAATGGCCCTGTAAGTTAGATGATAGTGAACCAGCATGTTACTGAGATGTACACGGCTCTCAGCAGATAAAAATAGGATAAAGAACAGAAACCACGGATCAGGTACCTGTACCGCATCTCTATGAGTTAGCTGGTACGATGTTCTCGAAGGAAACCTCGTTAAAGACTGATAAATACTAAGCGACTCAGCTTTACCACATAAGAAACAAAAGCAAAGGGTAAAAATGTCACATCAAGGTACCACAATCTCTACCTGCTACTTTTTAAATACGTTTTAATTACCTTTGCTAACGATAGTCGCATCAACCATCAACAGCGCAGATACTGCGTTAAAACTCGCCTTAATCATGTTGCTCTTGACGAGCAGCGGCTCAAGCACTCCATCCTCAAGCATATCGCTCGTGCCTCTTTTTATATTGACACCACTGTGGTTTTTGTCGTTCGAGTGTTCGTATCTCAGCTGCTGTATGATCTCGATGGCGTCTTGACCGAAGTTCTTGGCAAGCTGGTACGGGATTATCTCAAAGGCCCTGGCAACTGCTAAGTACACCAGTGCAGACTTCATGGCTATACTTTTTCCCTCTTCACGAACATATTTCGACAGTTCCATCTCTGTTGAACCACCGCCAGTGACAACATTCTTGTTCCTCAGGGTTCTCTTAACAACCATCACCGCATCATTGACACTACGCTCCACCTCATTCAGAACATCCTCACCAGGTCCCCGTATTATCAATGTGTACGCTTTCTTTGTTCCTCCGCTGAGATAATTGTACCGCAGTTTGCCCACCTGCTTCTCCTCGAAGAGCGCACACGTCCCATAAATCTTCAAAAAGTTGGTGGAATTGTATATTTTACCTCCGCAGGCGTTAACAATCCTAAAAAGATCTTCTTTGGCGACACGACCTGCACAGAATATGTTCTTTCTCGCGAAATACTGCGTAGCATAATCACCTACCGGCAAAGAAGACAGAACAACGTTCGCTCCCGTATCGATAATCCTATCGAGCTTGTCCCGCACAAGCTTCCACTCCGCATCCACTATTGCCTGGTAGTCCTCAACCGATTTCAAACGCACTTCACAGTTCTCTCTTTCCTGCTTCCACTCAAGTTCAACATTCAGGCAAATTATTTTTGGATTCTCAATTCTTTTCGGTTGCTGCTCATAGCCCGCGTACGTAAAGCATTTTTCAAAGGCAACGCCATCAACCATCTCTGAATCACTGATAGATCCACCGCTCACCTTCTTTATTCCAACCAGCCTCGTATCATCGATGTCTTCTATCTGTTTGAACGTGTTTACGATCATATCTGCAAATTTGCATTTGTCGTATTTCAGGATCTTGGATGTAAGGGATGTCTGTGCCATGCTGTAGAACTGATCGTCATTGAAATCAATTTTGCAATCCCGCAGTCTCTCGAGACACTTTCCTTGTATTTCCTGCAGCGTATTTTTTATGAACTTGATGTCTAAACTGTCTTTTATCAGTGGTTTAAGCTGCTCAAGAATGCTGCATGCGAGTAACACCACACTCGTTGTGCCGTCGCCAACCTCCTTGTCCTGCGACTCAGAGATAGCGGCCAGTAATCTGCCGGCAGGATGTTCAATTTTCATATTTTTTAGAATCGTAGCGCCATCGTTTGTAATCAGAATCTCGCCGTTCACAAGGAACATTTTATCGCGGCCGTAAGGCCCCAGCGTGGTTTTAAGCGAGTCTGCAATCGCAGCCCACGAGTCGATGTTCGAAAGAACTTGGGGAGTACCCTCGCGGGTGTCCTGTGTTTCAATCGTGTTTACTTGAATTTCTTCCATAACTTAGGGTGCACAAATTTTTTAATTTTTAGGATTGCCCATCTGTGGTACACTATGCCGAGAAGAACTAAAACCACCAAAATATTTTTGCTAGCCATATTTTGCGTTGGCAGGCATGTTTGATTACCCTAATTGTGAACCTTTGACAGAAGTATAATTCATAGTAGTGCTATACACAGCAATTTTATTGAAAGAATGTCTGATTAAGCCACACAAACGTGTTTAATAAGAGATATCGTGGCATTTAATTTTATTATTCAGTTCAGCACACTGGAATGATGACATAATCATATATCCAGATATGCGCAGCTATTCGTATGCCGATAAATTAGTTAATCGTATAAAGAGAGTACAACATGATATAGCAGATGCAAGGAATGAAATAGTACTTCAAACATCAAAGTTATGTTGTTTGTGTGTAGAACAAGTCCATGTTTAGCAAATTCTTGGAGCTAAGGTGGTGAATTGACCCTATCTAGAAACATGATAGAAGAATTGTGGTAGTTTAAAGGCCGGTAACAACTAACAATTGCAAATATTGCGGTACAATTGTTGAGAATGATCAGTGTTATGAAGTGCATCGCCGGTAATTATTCATATGGTACCACATAAGGAACTTGGGCACCTGAACAATTACTACGGTCGTTGCCAAGGCAACAATAATTGCCAAAAAATGGCCCTTTACGTCAAAAATATATAAATTGTTTTTTTACAACGATAATTACACCAATTTGCAAATAAATCCTGATCTTCTCCACAAGAGTGCTCTGTAAATAGTCTGATAACCAGCATTTTTTACATTTTTAATGAGTCTTCATAGTTCATTAACAAACTTTGACTGGCTCTTAACCAAAAGGACTTACATTAACGTAGTCTATCTCAGGAAATAGAAAAATTATCAGAGAGAAAATGTAAAGGTATCACCATGGGAGAGTTTAGTGAATGCTGAAGGGTGTGCACGCCACGCGAAAGCGGATGCGTTCCAGAAAATAGCGAATGATTATAAACGATCAAAGATCTATTTTAACTGCTAAAAAATTATTTCCTAGTAAATTATTCCCTGAAACATATTTTTGATTTTTTCACAAAAATGAGTTGCACGATTGATACTTTTTAACTGCACACATACTTCATTTATAGTGGTAGATATACACAGCTTGTACAAAAAGAATGTCCTAACAAAGACTTAGGTCTTAGGAAAGGTTAATTTAATTTTTTAAATTCTTCTTTCAATTTCTTCACGTTTTCATTGACGTAATCCAACGGAGTATCGACCACCTTCCAGTCAATTTTCAGACAGTTCACTTTGTCTATGCACGGCACGATATGGAAATGAACATGTGGCACGCTCTGTATATGGCCGTTGTTCTGCAATATGTTAAACTTTTTTATTCCGAGCAGCTTAACGGCTTTCCATATCGTGCGCATCGCATGTGCCACGTCTTCCTCTTCACAATCGTAGAGGAACTCGCCATGTTTGACAGGTATGACCAACAAATGGCCTTTTGACAAAGGTCTTATATCAAGAATGATAAACACCCGTGAATCCTTATACAGCACGTTCATATCTTTTGAGTAAATACTGCAAAATATGCATTCGCTGTCCATCCTGGGGGCCTGGTAAAAATTGCAATAAATTTGCATAGAGCACGCACTTATCGAGTAGAAATCACTAAAGTTTCTCATTTGGTATTGAAGAGAATTGTTGCGTAGGTTTCAATGCACTAATTGGTGTATTTGCGCTACCAAACCTCATTTACTATCTTTTGTTCACCATAAATTATGTAATTTACCTGTTTTAATACAGAATTTACGTCAAATCTCATAAATGCGTTGGAAATGTTTTTGCATTCACTTATCACAGACATGAACAACGGAAAGTCGGTGTTGAAGCCATTAACAAAGCTGTCATGGTAATAATCGCTGAATTTGTCTGAGCCGTTGATGAACTCAACTTTATTTTAATTCTAAACATTGCTGTGCCAGTTGTGCTAATCACAGTCTCTCCTTTCATCATGGCAATGAATAGTCGTTGATCTTTGACTTAGGTAGATGTCTGTAGAGTCTCACTCAGAGAGGCATTTATTACCGTATGATACTATCAATTTCTATTGTGATCAATTTTTGATGAATTAAAGGATCTTTTGTCCATATTTTCATTCAAGACCAGCAATCATAAGCTGGCACTTGTTGTTCTGTGGGCATTTCTCTTTTTGTATACCCACCTGACTTCAAGGTTATTCGGTACCTACCGTTAAGTTCACTGGAGCACGCCTATAACAGTCGAAATGTCTGATAATTCTTCGTGTAGAAGTGCTGCTGACGCCATACAGTGAAACACATGTGTCAGCCACTCCTTTGATGTTAAAAGCCGCACAAGCGGGAGTGCCACATCTCGCATCTAAGAGCTGAGTGTGTTCTT